TTTCCTTATTATTGAAGCATCATATTAGAGGATACTTTGTGGATGTAAAGTACATCAATTTAATAACAAAGGGCATAATGGTATATTGAATTTGTGATTTAACAGTTGCATTATTAGCTGCTCATTTTTGCAATGAATTTACAAGTAAAATTCACCTCCTTAAATAGATTATAATTAGTTATATAATGTCACATCAGTGATAATGTACTTCCACTATCCTTTCATGACTGTGGGCGATTTTAAGTGTAATTGACTGGATGAGTGAACAACTGTGTGGGTGTGACACTGAGTAACTGATAATTGTACTGTTGGAAGAAAATAAATGCAGATGTTTGAATGGGTGAAAGAACTGCTTGGTAATTTTATGGATGGGTGGGTGGAACTGCAGGTGGGTGGATGGGTGAGAATGCACGTGACTGTGAATGGTTAGGTTAAAAATGAATGCACAGTTAATTTGTGGTGTCATGTTAAAGTAGGACAGCACTATTGATAAGTGGCCTCTGAAACAAATGTACCATTGAGGTTTCAATATATTTCTGTGACAGGTCAACAGCATGATCTTATAACAAAAATAGAAGTCGCTGGGAACACTCATGAGGGTCATGGACCCGAAACGTTGACTCACTTTCCTTTCTCCATAGATGCTGCCTGACTTGCTGAGTGTTCCCAGCGACTTCTGTTTTCGTTTTCAGATTTCCAGCATCTGCAGTATTTTGCACATGATCTTATATATAGTTTTTCTGACTGTCTGTCAATCTAAACATCTTGTGTACTTACAAGTATATTTTTATACATTGGGCCAATATTTCTCTCTCATCCAAATTCACACCAGAATATTTCAGATTGTTTTGCCACTCATCTCAATGTTTGTGGAACATTGCTGGTGAAGATTGGCTGCCGTGCTTGTCTGCATAACAATATTTGCCATGCTTTAAAATAACTCATTTTGTCAAGTGCTTGTTTTGGCATTCAAAGCCTGTATTTAAAGACAAATACTATTTATTATATATTTCCAGACTATTAGCCTTTTTTCAAATTAATTATTAAAATGAGATCCAGTCTGCTTTATGACTCTAGTGGATGCTAATTGATTCTGTGTTACTATTTCATACAGGAATAAATTGTTTCTCTAAATTTTCCTGGCTAATATCTCCCCTCATTAAAATTCACCCCAAAATATCTGATCACTTCATTACCCACTTCAGTGTTTATGGAACACTGTCAGTGCAAATTAGCTGCTGTTTGCCTGCATCAACATTAACGTTATTTCCAGTTATTGACATTTTCACAGTGCTACAAACCAATCGTTGCCTTACATGAAGAGTGCCATGTAAATATGTTACAATAGCACTGTAGTAGCAAAATGGCAATGTATATATATATATAAACATAGATAAGAAAGGTTCTGGCAACCCCCAGATAACTAATTGATCATTCACTTCATGACTGCTTCAGGATATTGCTGTGTGCAAATTTGTTGCTGGGTTCACCTGCAAAATCCAGATTTGCTACTCTTTACAATAATTCCTGTGAAGCACTTTGAGTGTCCTCCTGACATAAATCAAATGCAAGGATATTATTATAAAATGGACATGTCTTGCGATTCTTGGCTGCCCCATGTCTGTGAAACATAAACAAAAGGCAAAATACAACAGTTGCTGGAAATCTGAAATAAAAACAGAAGTCGCTGGGAACACTCAGCAGGTCAGATAGCATCTATGGAGAGAGGAAAGTGAGTTAATGTTTCAGGTTGAATACCTTTTGTCAGAACTCAAATTTTTCGCCCATAAAATATAGAGTCAATTCACTTTACGGTATATTCTGTGAAGCACTTTGAGACGTCTCAAAGACTTGATAAGGCACTATATCAAATGCATGGAATATATTATTATATCTGTGAAGCATAATGTTAACCGCTTCTCTAAACCTCCATGCCATCTCTCTGACGGTGATCCACAATCAAAAATAAATACACAGAGTTATGCTTATCAGCAATGAAGATGATTTAGGATGGCGGAGGTCAGTTTGCAACCCCCAATCTGCTAGTACTTCAAATTCAAAAGATCCCCACGGAGGTTCCAATGAAAGGTACAAAATTTGTGAATATTCTGGAGTTTTAACTTGATTCGCTTTAGAAATCAACAACAACAACAACAAAATTCCATTTATAAAGCGCCTTTCACGTCAGGAGGACGTCCCAAGGCGCTGCACAGTTGGGTCATTCTATCAAGCAATAGTAAATGGTAGTGACCTCAATAAAAAGATATGTATAAGAAGTGACCTCTGACTTTTGGACTTTTTAATAGTTGAAATGCAAAAGAGGTCACCAACATTGATGGTTCCTGATCTATGATCTTCGCAGCGTCAGGTCCACCAATAAACAACAACTTACATTTGCATCTCTCCTTTCACCAAAAATATATGTCAAATTACACAACAATAACAAAACAAAAACAACTTGCATTTACAAAGTGTTCTTCACGTGGATAGCATCTCAGAGCACCTAACTGCATACAGAACGATGAAATGAACTAGAAATTAGCACATTGATAAAGAGGCAAATGCGGCAGCTGATTTCGATCAGCGATGTCCCACACGCAACATGTCACCAATTACTAATTACCAATTAATTTTTTTGCCTGAATTTTGATGAGGAGAGAATATAAGCCAAGATAACTGAAAGGAAAACTCCATTCATATCAACCTGAATCACTAGGCAGGCAGAACTTAAATTAAGGATTCAATCCAAATAAAGGGAATAATGACCTGGAAATAAACAATAAACTTTTATTTAATGTAGAATGTTGCTATTTTGGCAAACAATAAATAATCGTGACCTGGAAAGTATAATTGTCAGGAGTCACAAACAGGAACTCTCTTATTAAGTTAGTTTTCGTTCCATTACCAAATCAAAGTAAACATCAGTAAATGTCAGAAACAAGCTAAGACCATGAAAGGGTAGTATTATGAGTAGAATGACCAGAGTCAAAATTGGATCAGGCCTATAATTCGGCCACTAAATATACAGTCAATTCACTTTACAATATATTCTGTGAAGCACTTTGAGACATCTCAGCGACATGATAGGGTACTAAATCAAGGCAAGGATTATATTTTGTCTGTTCCAAAATAGGAAGGAATCATACAACTAAACTGAACAGATGCAATGTTTCAATCAGATTCAGTATTAGAGTTGAAGTCCACAGCAAAGAGCTGCTGTACATCTCACCGACATGATTAATGGGGCTGCATTGTACATCTGGGAGTATGTTGTAATTAAAATACTGTTTGCTCAGATTGGATGCGAGGAATTGAACTATGGATTAAAGACATGGGTAATGGGATTCTTGGGGATGTCCAGCTGACATGAAATGTGTTATATAAATGCAATTTATTGTTTGTTGGTGGTGGTGATGCATAAAATACATGCTTAAAATGTTTGGTTCGAATTTGAGATGAGATTTTACTGCCGGTTGGGAGTAAAGCTACATTGATCTTAAATTGTTCACAAACTACATCTTTCACTTTAATCTTATTAAAGAACAATTGTAGTGTGTCTCCAACATGACCAATGTATTTTGTTTTCTGGTTAAGGATTAGGCAAAGTGTAATTCAACCGCTCACTATTTCAGTTTTTAAAAGAAAATGACTGCCTTATCGAGGCAATATTGATCAGAGCAATATTGTGACTAATGCTGACTGTGAACCAATCTATTTCCAACCACATTTTCACAGCCACACAGCGGTTGTTGCAAACGATTGTCACCAGATGGTGCTGCACATATAATAAATAGATCGATCAATAGGGTTGATCAATGAAATTCTTCGGCAGTGATAACCAGCAGTTTTAAATTAAATGGACCGTAACATCAGCTACAATTTGACCCGCAATTTGCCCGAGTCCTGCAGTGCGGGACTTGCAGTTTCTCCCCGTTTCACTTCACTCCCCGAGCATTGCCAGCACCGCAGCAGCTTCCAGGACCCCGCAGGCTGGGGGCGGGTGAGCTGTCAATCAATCAATCGATTGATCAATCAGCCAGTCAATCAGCCAGTCAATCAGCCAGTCAATCAGCCAGTCAATCAGCCAGTCAATCGATCAATCGAATGAATGAATGAATGAATCAATCAGCCGATAAGCCAATCAGCCAATCAACCAACCAACCAATCAATCAATCAAATCAATCAATCAATCAATCAATCAATCAATCACCCAATCAGCCAATCAGCCAATCAGCCAATCAGCCAATCAACCAATCAATCAATCAATCACTCGATCGATCGATCGATCAATCAATCAATCAATCAATCAATCAATCAATCAATCAATCAATCAATCAATCAATCAATCAATCAATCAATCAATCAATCAATCAATCAATCAATCAATCAATCAATCAATCAATCAATCAATCAATCAATCAATCAATCAATCAATCAATCAATCAATCAATCAATCAATCAATCAATCAATCAGCCAATCAGCCAATCAACCAATCAATCGATCGATCAATCAATCAATCAATCAATCAATCAATCAATCAGCCAATCAACCAATCAATCAATCAATCAATCAATCAATCAATCAATCAATCAATCAATCAGTAAGAGGGCACTGCGACCAATGAGGGCTGGAGCCAGAGAGCTGTCAATCAGATGACGCTACGCCCAGTGGGGGGGCCGGAGGGAGAGAGCTGTCAATCAGAGGATACCGCGCCCAATGGGCATTGCCGGGGGGCGGGACGGGTTGGGCTCGCGCGGCGGCGGTTGGGACTGGAGCTGCGGCAGAGCGAGCGCGAGCGGATCCGGAGACCCCGACACAGAGAGAGGTCCATGGAGACGCCGCTACATGTGTGTGGAGTCAGAGGAAAATACATGTTTTAAAGCGTTAAACACAAACGAGGACCGGACTTTACTTTTATATCATTGTTCAGAAAAAAATCCTTTTTTTTTGTTGCTCGAGTAAACCCCGGGGATATATACACAGTATATACACACAGCTCTGTGAGGAGAGACGGGTAAGCTTCACTTCTTATTACGTTTGTTTTATTTTATTCTATTCTGTTCTATTCACGACGCTCTCGTCTGCGGTAATTCCCGTTTGTTTTTTCAAGGTAAAATAGTGGGGAAGAGAGAGAGAGAGAGAGAGGGAGGGATGTGAGGGGAGGGATGTGAGGGGAGGGAAAGGAAGGGGGGAATGGGAGGGGAGAGAGAGAGAGAGAAGGAAGGTAGTGCTTACAATCGAGCAGCAGAGTCCGGGTCAGGAGGGAGTGGGGGAGAGAGAGAGAGAGAGAGGCAGCCTGACTGCCCTGCCCACTGCCCACTGCCCTGCCCCCTGCCCTGCCCACTGCCCACTGCCCTGCCCCAGCCTGACTGCCCTGCCCCAGCCTGACTGCCCTGCCCCAGCCTGACTGCCCTGCCCACTGCCTGCCCACTGCCCCAGCCTGACTGCCCTGCCCCAGCCTGACTGCCCTGCCCCCTGCCCACTGCCCTGCCCCCTGCCCTGCCCCAGCCTGACTGCCCTGCCCCAGCCTGACTGCCCTGCCCCCTGCCCACTGCCCTGCCCACTGCCTGCCCACTGCCCTGCCCCAGCCTGACTGCCCTGCCCACTGCCCTGCCCCAGCCTGACTGCCCTGCCCACTGCCCTGCCCCAGCCTGACTGCCCTGCCCACTGCCCTGCCCACTGCCCACTGCCCTGCCCACTGCCCTGCCCCCTGCCCTGCCCCAGCCTGACTGCCCTGCCCCCTGCCCACTGCCCTGCCCACTGCCCTGCCCCTGCCCTGCCCAGCCTGGCTGCCCTGCCCACTGCCCACTGCCCAGCCCACTGCCCTGCCCCAGCCTGACTGCCCTGCCCACTGCCCACTGCCCTGCCCCAGCCTGACTGCCCTGCCCTGCCCACTGCCCACTGCCCTGCCCACTGCCCACTGCCCACTGCCCTGCCCACTGCCCACTGCCCTGCCACTGCCCTGCCCCAGCCTGACTGCCCTGCCCACTGCCCTGCCCCTGCCCACTGCCCTGCCCCTGCCCACTGCCCTGCCCCTGCCCTGCCCCAGCCTGACTGCCCTGCCCACTGCCCTGCCCCCTGCCCACTGCCCTGCCCACTGCCCACTGCCTTGCCCACTGCCCTGCCCACTGCCCTGCCCCAGCCTGACTGCCCTGCCCACTGCCCTGCCCACTGCCCACTGCCCTGCCCACTGCCCTGCCCCAGCCTGGCTTCCCTGCCCACTGCCCTGCCCACTGCCCACTGCCCTGCCCACTGCCCACTGCCCTGCCCCAGCCTGACTGCCCTGCCCACTGCCCACTGCCCTGCCCACTGCCCTGCCCCAGCCTGACTGCCCTGCCCACTGCCCACTGCCCTGCCCCTGCCTGACTGCCCTGCCCACTGCCCTGCCCCCTGCCCACTGCCCTGCCCCTGCCTGACTGCCCTGCCCACTGCCCTGCCCACTGCCCACTGCCCTGCCCACTGCCCTGCCCCCTGCCCACTGCCCTGCCCCAGCCTGGCTGCCCTGCCCCAGCCTGACTGCCCTGCCCACTGCCCTGCCCACTGCCCACTGCCCTGCCCACTGCCCTGCCCACTGCCCTGCCCTGCCCACTGCCCACTGCCCTGCCCACTGCCCTGCCCCCTGCCCACTGCCCTGCCCCAGCCTGACTGCCCTGCCCACTGCCCTGCCCCAGCCTGGCTGCCCTGCCCACTGCCCCTGCCCTGCCCACTGCCCACTGCCCTGCCCACTGCCCTGCCCCAGCCTGACTGCCCTGCCCACTGCCCTGCCCTGCCCACTGCTGCCCTGCCCACTGCCCTGCCCACTGCCCTGCCCCAGCCTGGCTGCCCTGCCCACTGCCCACTGCCCTGCCCACTGCCCTGCCCACTGCCCTGCCCCAGCCTGACTGTCCTGCCCACTGCCCTGCCCTGCCCTGTCCACTGCCCTGCCCACTGCCCTGCCCCAGCCTGGCTGCCCTGCCCACTGCCCTGCCCCAGCCTGGCTGCCCTGCCCACTGCCCTGCCCACTGCCCACTGCCCTGCCCCAGCCTGGCTGCCCTGCCCACTGCCCTGCCCACTGCCCACTGCCCACTGCCCTGCCCACTGCCCTGCCCCAGCCTGGCTGCCCTGCCCACTGCCCTGCCCCAGCCTGGCTGCCCTGCCCCAGCCTGGCTGCCCTGCCCACTGCCCTGCCCCAGCCTGACTGCCCTGCCCACTGCCCTGCCCACTGCCCACTGCCCTGCCCCAGCCTGACTGCCCTGCCCACTGCCCTGCCCACTGCCCACTGCCCTGCCCACTGCCCTGCCCCAGCCTGGCTGCCCTGCCCACTGCCCTGCCCCAGCCTGACTGCCCTGCCCACTGCCCTGCCCCAGCCTGGCTGCCCTGCCCACTGCCCTGCCCACTGCCCTGCCCCAGCCTGACTGCCCTGCCCACTGCCCACTGCCCTGCCCACTGCCCACTGCCCTGCCCACTGCCCTGCCCCAGCCTGGCTGCCCTGCCCACTGCCCTGCCCCAGCCTGACTGCCCTGCCCTGCCCACTGCCCTGCCCCAGCCTGACTGCCCTGCCCACTGCCCTGCCCACTGCCCACTGCCCTGCCCACTGCTCCAGCCTGGCTGCCCTGCCCACTGCCCTGCCCCAGCCTGGCTGCCCTGCCCACTGCCCTGCCCTCTGCCCTGCCCTGCCCACTGCCCTGCCCACTGCCCTGCCCACTGCCCTGCCCCAGCCTGGCTGCCCTGCCCACTGCCCTGCCCCAGCCTGGCTGCCCTGCCCACTGCCCTGCCCACTGCCCACTGCCCTGCCCACTGCTCCAGCCTGACTGCCCTGCCCACTGCCCTGCCCACTGCTCCAGCCTGACTGCCCTGCCCACTGCCCTGCCCACTGCCCCAGCCTGGCTGCCCTGCCCACTGCCCTGCCCACTGCCCTGCCCACTGCCCCAGCCTGGCTGCCCTGCCCACTGCCCTGCCCCCTGCCCCAGCCTGACTGCCCTGCCCACTGCCCTGCCCCCTGCCCCAGCCTGACTGCCCTGCCCACTGCTCCAGCCTGGCTGCCCTGCCCACTGCCCTGCCCACTGCCCCAGCCTGGCTGCCCTGCCCACTGCCTTGCCCACTGCCCTGCCCACTGCCTTGCCCACTGCCCTGCCCACTGCTCCTGCCTGCCCTGCCCACTGCTCCAGCCTGGCTGCCCTGCCCACTGCCCTGCCCACTGCTCCAGCCTGGCTGCCCTGCCCACTGCCCCAGCCTGCCCTGCCCACTGCTCCAGCCTGGCTGCCCTGCCCACTGCCCTGCCCACTGCCCCAGCCTGGCTGCCCTGCCCACTGCCCCAGCCTGGCTGCCCTGCCCACTGCCCTGCCCACTGCTCCAGCCTGGCTGCCCTGCCCATTGCCCTGCCCACTGCCCCAGCCTGGCTGCCCTGCCCACTGCCCCAGCCTGGCTGCCCTGCCCACTGCCTTGCCCACTGCCCTGCCCACTGCTCCTGCCTGCCCTGCCCACTGCCCTGCCCACTGCTCCAGCCTGGCTGCCCTGCCCACTGCCCTGCCCACTGCTCCAGCCTGGCTGCCCTGCCCACTGCTCCAGCCTGGCTGCCCTGCCCACTGCCCTGCCCACTGCTCCAGCCTGGCTGCCCTGCCCACTGCCCTGCCCACTGCTCCAGCGTGGCTGCCCTGCCCACTGCTCCTGCCTGCCCTGCCCACTGCCCTGCCCACTGCTCCAGCCTGGCTGCCCTGCCCACTGCCCTGCCCACTGCTGCAGCCTGGCTGCCCTGCCCACTGCTCCAGCCTGGCTGCCCTGCCCACTGCCCTGCCCACTGCCCCAGCCTGGCTGCCCTGCCCACTGCCCTGCCCACTGCCCCAGCCTGGCTGCCCTGCCCACTGCCCTGCCCACTGCCCCAGCCTGGCTGCCCTGCCCACTGCCCTGCCCACTGCCCCAGCCTGGCTGCCCTGCCCACTGCCCTGCCCACTGCCCCAGCCTGGCTGCCCGACATCACATTAAACTGTGAAAGCATTGAGTTTGAAGGAAGTGCACTGAGAGAGGCTCTGTTTTTTTTACTGTTAACAGAAAGAGGACTTGGTACCAGTTACCCAGCACAGCCGCATGCTTTACTGTGTCCCTTGATTCTCTCTCTCCCCCTCTCATTCTTCCTGCTTCCACTCAACTTTTTATGGGATCCTTTGCTCCTGCTTTTTTTTTAAAAAAAAACTCAATTTTATTCATATATTATTAGTAAAACCGTTTCGCCAGCTGCTTGCTTGCCTGCTTGCTTGTCGTGCCAGGGCTGTGTTGGCACCACTCCTCTGTGGCTCATTGGGAAGCGCAGGCATATGATGATGCGAAGAGCAGAAGGTTTTACGGTGCTGCAGATGTTTAAACTCCTGAATCTGCAGATAGGCCGATAGAGAGAGAGAGATGGCATTACATTGATGCCCCATTGGCATTTCTTGTTGCTTTGGAGATTGAGCAGTGCAGATCAAAGGGGTGCACTTGCCCAGCATAGGTTTAGCATTGTTTGTAGCCAAAGGGGTGAACTGTTTTACTAGTGTAATAATAATGATCGTTGCATTTGATATAGTCCATTTTACAGGTTGGGAGGATGTCTGAAAACACTTTACAGGATTTACTGTAAAGTGATTTAAGTGACTGTATTTTGGAGGTCAACTTGGCAGCTAATTTGCACACAGCAATATCCCATGGTGGAATGAGGGTTTACAATAACAATTCTGCTGTTACTGTATAATTGACATTATCAAGTAAGCCACTGTATTAAAACTGTAGTGTCTGCCTTATTGTGCCAACTATATTTGGTTGCACTTACTGACATGTATTTGTGCTCTGGTTTACCTTGAAACTTGGATTCAATTGAGGATGTGTCGTTCCTGTGCTTGAGTTTTAGGGGATACTAGAATTATTGGTGTGGGTGACCCATTTCATGCGGTTGCACACATTGAGACCAATCACTCGTGGAAGATTCTGAGAGGGGAGCCAGACATTCATACATGCAATAATTAAAGTAAGCTTATTACTGAAACAGACATGATACTATTGTCTGCCTAGATGTTCACATGTTTGCATATTCTGCCAGGCTTAGGGATTCCATTTTTGTTTTAAAAAAAAACTTTTTAAAAAATATATACTTTTTAAAAAAAAGTGTTATAGCAGCAATATAATTCTTTAATGTGAGCTTTCTTGTGTTTATAATGTCCACTATAGTGATTAGTTTACTCACTTATCCTTTTGCTCCATTATTCTAATACTTAAGTTTTGTTTTTCTAAAAAATATTCTTGCTATATTGCTCACGCTGTTCCTTCACTTATTTTTCCTCTTTACTTGCATTTCATTAACATTATTTTAGATAGTCAGCTTATACGAGTCTCATTTCATCCATTTTAATGCCAGTGTGGTCATTACAGTCTTTCCAGTTCTAGTACATTTTCCTCCATTCTTGTCTTTGTACTCCACTTTTGAGTTATGAACATTGACATACCCCTATTTGCAATCCTATGGCAAATACTCCACTCTGAAGATCTCCTTCTGCTTTTTAATGTACCTTAGGGGACCACACTGCCTTGATTAGGAACCCATGTTCTATGGTACTTATTGTTGCACTGCAGTAGATGGGTAAATTAGATGGATTGATGATCCAAATCCTGCCAGAAATGACAATTATGAAATTATGATGATAACTCCATTTTTTTTGAGTGTTAAATGGAAATATTTTCATAATTAAAAGCAACATAGGGAATCAGGGAAGAGAAAATCACCCAGTACTCCTAATCGTTATCCAGGGACCCCTGCTGTCGTAGACACAGATGACGACAGGATCCTTTGCCATTCTCTCTTGGTTGACTTGCCTGCCGATGTTCACTGCCAAGGCTCACACATAAATAATGTATGATGTCAGCCTCGCTCAATTGATAGCACTCTCGCCTCTTGAGTTGGAAGGTTGTAGGTTCAAGCCCTGCAGAACGGGACATGGAACTCGTATAGTCTGGGGAGGCTGACACTCCAGTGCAGTGCGGAGTGTGCTGCATTGTTCGACATAATGTCCTTCAGGTGAGACATTAAACTGAGGTCTTGTCTGCCTATTCAGGCGGTCGTTAAAGATCGCACAACATTATTTGAAAAGAGAGGCGTGGTGTCCTGGTGAACAAACAAATAAAATTGGTAATTCACTTCATCGCTGGTTTGGGTACATTGCCATGCTCAAATTGGATGCTGTGTTTGCCCACAAAACAGTCACTGCACTTTACAGTATCTACGACTGTTTGTGGGACATTGCTGTGCGCAACTGGCTGCCGCGTTCGCCCACAAATATACAGTCAATTCACTTTACAGTGTGTTCTGTGAAGCGCTTTGGTACGTCCTCCCGACGTGAAAAGCATCATATCAAATGCAAGGATTATTATTATTACAGTATATCCTGTGAAGTGCTTGGGGATGTTCTTCAACGGTAAAGGCACTATACCAAATGTATGCATTGTTATTAGTGACCACATGGGCCAAAGAACAGGAATGGTGTTCATGGAGCTGTGCTTCAATGGGAGTGGGGTGGAGAGTTGGGGAAAGCTGGGTAAGGGGAATTAATTGGGGAGATAAATATTAAAATTACAGCTAATGCTTAGAATTTTTAATGGAACATTGAAAAAAGTGTAATGTAATACAATGCTACTTCTGGTCAGGTGTATCATATTCCATATTCATAAATTTGAGGGGTACTATATCAATGCAAATTGTTGTTGACAATAACTCACTTTTGGCAGTTATTTAAATTCCGAGCTGCGTACTGTAAGGTTTCATCATCACAAGGCTTTCACTTTCAGTGTTCCTAAAGAGGTTATTTGAATATTGACTGCAAGTGATCATGAATGTTGTGACCATTTTGTGATTCCAGAACTTAAGTTTAACTTAAATAGGGTGAACAAATAACTGTATTATACTATTGGTAGTGTTATTTCATGTATGTGTCTTCAGATTATGTTGATCACTTCGTGGAAAGTACAGTACCTACACAAACTACAGACGATTCAGAACTCTGCAATCCATTTCCTCTCATGCACCAACTATCACTCCCATCGTCGCTCTCCACTGATTCCCCATTCCCCAACGGATTGAGTTCAGGATCCCTGTTCCTGCGTTCAAATCCCTCCACGGTTTCAACCCACTGTACCTCTATGACCTCCTTCACTCACACCAACCCTACTTCTCCCTTTGCTCAGTAAACAGTAGGGTCCTAAGTTTGACCTAATAGAATCTTCCCTTTCTAGCCATGTATTGTTACCTGCTGTTTCTTAGTTTAAGCAAACTATTTATCCTGTTCCATAATTTGCATTTATTCCATGAGAATGTAGACCATTAGCTCCTGGCATGTTTTGGAAATTGAAGCTTACAATGTCACCTCTTTACCATCATGTCAGTAATTGAAGACTATTGATGGGCTAGTTAAGAATGATCTCTCCCTCCAAAATCCATACTGATTGTTCTGTAGTAACAAATTATGCTTTTTTATGTATTTATCACTGGAGAGTTTTTTCTTAGGTTGTTGGTGAATGTAATGATTGGCATCAGAGAAGCGCCCTTCAGGTCTCTCAAATTAGTTTGAGGGATTTTTTCTATAATTGATAAACCTACTGGTTTATAACATTTGTTTTTTTAAAAAGTAATTCTGCTCTGCTGGTTTCCATTAAGACCAGCGGTTACATGCTGTCTTTACCACGTACATTTGTCTATTTTAAGAGTGCCTAACTAATCATATCAATTGTTGTTTCTATGCTGTCTGACTCCTCTTCTGTTTCTGACTCGAGTTACTTTCTTTCCTTTTCCTCCGTAAAGATGACTGAAAATTGACTACTGTTTTTATTAACATCATATAATTTTCAACTGTGCAATGCATTTAAAAAAAATTAATACTGGAGGTGTTTTCCGTAATCTTAGTTTTAATGTTCCTCATTGATCCTTTAGTTATTTTCAGTCGATTTTGCATATCTTTATAATTTATACAATTCTCCTGACCATCGGGAAATTCCTTGCGTAATGTAAAACCACGATTTATTCCTAAACTTCATTTTTTTCTGGTTTCCAATTTGTTTTGCTTTACCTAGAATTAATGTCCATTATAGTCATTAATTTTCTTAAGTACTTTCCATCATTATTGCATTCCATTGCCTGAGTCAATTTTGGGGGGTCGGCTGGGTGGGTGTCCGATACATGTGGAGCTCTATAACTCTGCTTAAGAGTATCCAAACCAAACTGAGAGTTCCATCCATCTCACAAATGGAAATTCCACAAATGTTTATTGGAATGGAATCCGCACTCTCTCTTCCTGGAGGGACACATTCCGCTTACTTAATTCCAGAAAGTATTAGGCGCAGGTTGGCAAGAGCCAAGGTTTGGGGATCCCAGAATGTGGGTTGGGCTGTTGTTGGAGTTTAACCAGCTAAAACCACAGAGCTTGCTACTGAGAGCACTATCCAGCAAACTTTCCTGCTGCTTATGCAGCTGGGACCGCACTACCTGTTGGGGCTTTGGCTTGCATGGTCAGCTTGGCTTTGCTGTCAATAGCGGTGCCCTGGAGTACTGCAGACCCACCTGGCTCAGGAACCAGATTGCCAAGACTTCCACAGAGGTTGGGCTGAATTCTGACATTCTGTTGTCAATATGTCACCTTGGAGTCACTTTAACTCCAAGGAGACTCTGCTTACCTCCCCCTTCCACCCCTTAAGGAAAATAGTCACGAGTTGGTCATTCAAAAAGTGTGCGTTTGAACCCTCACAAGTGGATGGCAGGTTCCAGGATCTCCCTGCGAGCTTCCTGGTTGGCAACGCAGCTCAACATGAAATATGCTGGAACATTATCACAATCTTCCTGCCCAAAGCTCGAACAATCATCCCTTCCCATTGAGCAATGATCTGTGTTGCTTGGTACTGAGCCAGATGTTCCATTTATACACTGAGCTGTATTTTGGGCTTTATTCTTTATGGAATACTCTATAGAACAGGTTTGTTTTACATCAAATGCCTCATTTGTAGTTCATTATCTACATGCTGAGGGGTTAGGCATTAGATATTCTGTGGCATTGAATAGATTGCAAAATTACTTTCACTTCAACTGATCTAATTATTGGGTAGTCCTGTCTTTATTACAGTTTTATTGTAGATTGTATACCATATAAGCGAAGACTTAAACAGTGCACTATAATCTATTCAGCCTTGGGGTGGGACCACTTTGTACCTTGTACTTTTGCTCGGTGGAACTTGCACAGCTGCAGTTAAAATAGAGATATGCATTTATATTGCTTAGTTTTTACAGCATCTCCAAGTAGATAACTCCAGCTTTGCCTTTGTGGTAAATTAAATACATGGATATGACATCTCAACCAATGGCATATTCTGAAACAACTTCCACTCTTCCCCCCCAATCCACCCAGGCATCAGAAAATGTGAAAGCATGTTCCATCAGAGCTATGGCAATCTCTTATACGATGGCAATAACATCACTTTGGACTCCCATTTGTAAGGCAGTGCATGGAACAATCCTCACCTCCTTTCGTGAGTGTTTGTCAGTACTTCCTTCTGGAAATGATGCTATTTTGTTACAGCAAGTCCTAATATACAGTCCTTGTTAACCCAACAGTGATTTGGGAGCAATAGCACAGACAGCTTGAAGGACAGAAACAGCCTGATTTTATGCAATGCACAAAGGAATATTTTTTGAATTTAAAAAAAGATATATTCAAAACTTGTCTTGAATAGTTATGTTCTGTGATGGGTTCTCGTTTCTGTTCTGAGGTGACTTCTTATTCTCTAATCTTAGCTCAATGGTCTCTTGCATAATGTTTTATCACAAAATCTTCAGACTTTATTTTGCCTCACACTACAGAGGAATAACTAATAAACAGTTGGGTGACATTTATACTGTGCGTTTCAGACATGCAAGTCAAATATTTATTTTGGAGCAAAAACTGACACTATTTGTGTCTTGTCCATCCTGTCTCTGTTTTATTGGCTGCTAAC